CTCTCCTCTGACCCTGCCCTCTGACCCCGTCTCATTTGCATTGATTACTTCCACATCTGATCCCGTCCCGTCTCTAAGAATAACTCCATTATCTTGTCTGAACAAACCATCGTCTCGGTGAACATGAGAGCGTTCATGTGGAAGCTCGCGCCCTCCCCTCGGCTCACACTGACCACAGACCAGCGTCAGAGCCTCGGGTCACTCGCCGCTTCGTCGAGCAGAAACCAACAATACTGAGCTGAAGGCGACTCTGTTTAAAGGGCCCACACCACGCTCTGTTCTGATCCATGTTCTAGATCACGATATGGTGGGGAGGCTCACGATGAGGGATGTAACAATATCCAAATCTCTGTGTACGATACTTTCACGATATACATCTCACGGTACGATATTTTGTGGAGGTTAAAGAGCTAAAACTGTTAATATGCAACTTTTTCCTCTTAAAATGCCTTGACAAGACTTAATAAGATTTCAAAGTGCTTAGTACGGAAGCCGAGAGGGGTCGCAACAAACGCAAACGTGACAACACAACAAAAAGCCACAACAAACCAAAAAAAGCCACAACACAACGAAAAAAGCCACAACGGAAATGACCACGGGACTCTATTTTAATGCAAACGCAGCAAGAAATACAAACACCACAACACAAATACAAATGCCACAACACATTAAAAAGCCACAACACATTAAAAAGCCACAACACATTAAAAAGCCACAACGGAAGTGACCGCGGGACTCTCTATTTTCCGACGGACCGATCAAGCGGCAAGTGAAGAAGAAGAACTACAACATGAAAAGTAAAGGAACGGAGAAGTTGGAAACGTAAGTAAAAGTAATTTATTGTTTTATCATTATTCGTTTCACGTTGTAGTTCTTCTTCTTCACTTGCCGCTTGATCGGTCCGTCGGAAAATAGAGTCCCGCGGTCACTTCCGTTGTGGCTTTTTGATATGTTGTGGCTTTTTAATGTGTTGTGGCTTTTGTGTTTATGTTGTGTTGTGGCGTTTGTATTTGTTGCGGTGTTTGCATTAAAATAAAGTCCCGCGGTCATTTCCGTTGTGGCTTTTTTTGGTTTGTTGTGGCTTTTTGTTGTGTTGTCACATTTGTATTTGTTGCAGCGTTTGCGTTTGTGCGTTGTGACCCCCTCTCGACTTCCAAAGCTTAGAGCTGTTATTTCTTGTAGTCTGCACTGAAATGGAGCAAAGGATCATGGTCTATGTAGTTCCCTCTGTCTTTTTTAGCTATTGCTGCACCATAACTCTTCATTTACGCAAAAAGACTTGTAATTCGATATATTGTGATGGTCCACGATATTATTGATTGAACTTTGACGATACGATATCACAATATTTCGGTTATTGTTACATCCCTAAAGTTCTAATATAGTTTCCTCATCACAAACAGACCTGGAGTTGTGTTTTATTTCATTCACACATGTACATTTAGACTCAGATCCACCTTGTGATGTCGTGGTAATACAAGAAGTGCTCCACTGTGTTTTTAAACTCCACACACCTTCACTAGAATCATTTGGATCGTTTCAGTGGTTCCATGCTGCTTTTCCAATGTGTCGCTATTTAAACACTGATGTCTAATTGTCAGAGTAACGGCTTAAACATAATTTTTCAAGCGTCCCACTACGTAGCCTTTTTTTTTCATTGTCGTAGCAGTGACACTTTACTATTTTTCAGACATTCCGCTTTTCCAACATTAATAATATGAATGTGAGAGCCTGTTATACTTTGTGCTCCCGTATATCATCAGACACTTGGGCAAAGCTCTTGATCGGAGAATACTTCGTCCGCAGAGGATATCAGACTGTGGGAAACTGATCGCTGTGGGAAATAGTCATGCACTTAAAAAAAAAAAAGAACATATCTAATATCTAATCTAAAACAGAGGCTGGGTGGTCCCTTTGTGCTTCATTCATTTAGTCATGTATTTGCGGAGAACACCGTATATGACGTGTCGGAATAACGATACTAAAAAGTCTCGGAAAACCGGCACCTCTAATAGAGACATGTCGTAATGAAAGGATGTTGGAATAGGCAGCGGACCCCATTTCAGCTCTAGAATCAATCTCTAAAGGTAAAAGGAGCTGTTAAGTTGAAAACTCACACTTCATGACATCACAAGGTGGAACAGAGCTTTTCGAAGTTTAGAGATGTAGACAGACTAATAATAAAGAGTTACTCAAACATGTGAATGAAACAAAACACAACTCCAGCTCTGTTTTTGAGGAGGGAACAACATTAGAACATGACTGAAGGCCTATTTACGATCCAGCGTCAAATCACCTGCATCACGACGTCTACACCGAGCGTCTGTGTTGACCAAAGTGCACCTCCGAAATGTTCTAACTATGTGTTGAAGAGATGCAGACCACAGGAGAAGCGACACAAGGGCTGTGATTGGTCCTCTACATACATTTTCTTTCAATATACACTGAGTAATAATGTGTTTAATGCAGCTTTGAGCACATTTGTTTACGTTTTACAGAAACGAAACTTAAAACCGCATGGCTCAACTAAGCGCTCAAAAAACAGCGTGCTCCTTGTGCACTGATGTGGTTCAGCTTCTGTCGGACTAAAGGACATGACTCAGTGGAATATGAGTGTTCTTTCTGTGACAGAGGGGTGTTCTGCTGATGGTGAGTCTGTTCTGTGCTTCTGTTGCGTTGGAGATGGTTCATGTGAAACTTTTCAAAGATTATACGTCTATAGGTCACACGCATAGACCCTATATATGAATGGACATATATCGTCGCCCCCTAGAGTTTTGGCAGTGAATTACTTTGCGGTGCACAGACCTCGACGCAGATCCATAAATCAAAAACAATGGCGACAAGGTGACGGTGGCAGTGCGCGTTTAGTCGACGCAGAGCTATACTTCACCCTTTACACCTCACAGGAGTCACTTCAAATTATAAATCAGATGTTACGTCCTGACAGTTTCTCTTTAAGTTACTTTTACTTGAGTTGTAGTTTCCCAAATTTTTTTTTTTACTGTTACTTGAGTTATTTCTTGGACCACAACTTTGTACTTCTACTTATGTAATATTATTTTGAAGTAACATTACTCTTACATGAGTAAAATGTTTGGCTACGTTCCCCACATCTGAGTGTATCTAAAGTTATAGATATTTGTAAAATCCCTCAGTCATCTAGGTAGAATCCATGGCCAAGGAGAAATTCAATATCTCACTCAGGCCGATATCATGCCGATATTTGGCCTTTTGTGCTTATCAGCTCTTCACCTTAACTCTCCACCACAGGTCGATATTGTACTGATCTGCTGATTAAAATATACACACAAAGCTTTATGATACGAGCTTTAACAGAACAAGGACGCTGCACAAAACTACACAGCTCACTTAACCCTTCCAGACCAATGGTATCATATACAACACATGAGAATATGTTTTATGTTTTATATAACCGTGCAGAACTTTCCAACCATAAAAGAAAGAAACTTCCTTTTTTTCCTTGAAAAGCTGAGTCAAAATGGTCGACTGCTCTGAGCGTCTGTGTTCGTAACAAATGAAAAAGCCGCTCTAAGTGCAGTTATTTCTCAAATAAATGGAAATTACGCGTCATGGTCTGCATAATTGCGCATCCCTTACTATTTTTATTATTATTATTTCTGGTCCTATAGATTTTATTGCAGATATATGACACAACTACAGCAGCCGATTGTGAAATAGCAGGTTGTACTGAAAAAAAGGATGTATAACACTTCATTAGGGTGTAAAAGGGGAAGTTTTAATAGCAAAATTAAGAAAAAATCCAGGCAAGAACAAATGTACCTTAGGTCTCGAAGGGTTATCGGTGCATTGTGTAAATTTGGTAAATGGTCACATTTTTATACAGCACTTTTCCACCTTCAAGGCTCAAAGTTCTTTACATCAAGGAAACACTCACACATTACACAGACGGACGAGGTGGGTTAAGTGTTTTACCAAGGACACAACAACAGCATTCATCGATTCGAACCTTCAGACCAGTGGACAAACGCTCTACCAACAGAGCTACTGAAACCTCTTTTCTGCTCTTGTTTCTGTAGATATGTCATTGTTCTGTCTGGAATGTTCCACAGTGTGACATTAAACAGCTCTACTTTACATTTACTTAATTACAAGTGGTTTGTTATGTACTGGCGCCCGTTTGCTCATCCCATTGTGTGGATTTTTATATTTCAGTATGTTTTGTGGTGTGGCTGGTCTGGGTATAAATCGGCCGCCAATCAGTGGCACACTCTATTTGCTCCTGCGTTCTTACTGTGCAGCGCCTCACCTTCCACACACCTGGGCGCGCACTCATTGTTTTGCGCGCTCCTTTGTCTTGGCGGCTCGGCACAGGCTGCGCTTGCCTATTCGCTGCTGTTCGCCTTTTGTGTTTGACCTGGTGGGAGCGGCTGTCCTGTTCTCGCCTTTTATTTGGTAAGGTTAGTTTTGGGGATGTCTCTTTTCCTTTAGTTTAGCGATGTCTGCAGCGGCTTCTACGGCTCTGCATGGGGTTGGTCTGGTGCCGCATCATTTTGTTCTGTTTGGCGCTCACCAGGTCCACCTTTCAGTTGTTACTTTGCTTTGGGGCACGGGAGCAGTTTTAGCATTCTAAGGTAAATTAAATTTAACTTAAACAATAAAAACTACTTTTACTTTTGTAACCTTTTACCTCTCCTTTAATAAGTTTGATCCACCTGGGTCGTAACATGGTTTAAGAGCTCAAAAATACCTAGAAAAACAGATATTCTGACTGTGAGCAGGGTCGCCTCTCCACAGATCTGACCTGTAACTTGGTCTGGTATGGTCTCCATGAAGATAGAAAGGTTTGATGCCATACTGTGAAACTTTCCAGACAAATCAATGACGTCTCCAAGGAGAAAAGCATTTGACGGACCGTCCACCAAAAAAGTTACACAGTGCAGCTTTATGTTTTGATGTGATCCCAAAGCCAGCATTTGGCATCAGCAAAAAAAAAAAAAATAAATAAAAAATCTTACCTGTGCACGTTCATTTCCTGTGGCGGTTTCGTGGCTTTATCGTAGGCCACCTTCGCCGCGATCCCGATGGCGATGATGAGCGCGATGACGCCGCACGTGATGTACACCGTGGTGTTGGTGCGGTCCAGCTCGGGGTCGTACGTGTCTCCGGTGGGCGCGGGAGACGGCGGCTGAGTCTTTATCCAGTCGGGCGTGTTATAGTTCGTACACGTCCTCTGCTCCAAACGCTTCCCGCGATCGGCGCAACAGAAACGCAAAAAACAGCTCCCGCAGCAGAACCGATGGTCCGTGTTGTTGCAGGCGAACTCTTTATCGAACTGCCCGCTGACGTCGTAGTAGCCCAGGCAGGTGTCATGCTGAACCGTCGGGGCTTGGACCTGCGTGATCTTTTCCGGAGAAGCGAACGGGAGAGCTGTGCCGTTGACGTTCCCTTTGGCCTTGACGTTCCTCCTGGGCTGGGATTGAACTCGCGGCTTCCTGCTGTTGCTGTTGTTGTTGTCCTGGTTCGTGGACGCGCTCTGTGAGTAGGTTAGCATTAGCATTAGCGTCAGCAGCAGGGGGAGGAGGTGGAGGTGAGGGGTCCGCATCCTGCCCCGACCCCCGGCCCGAGCAGCGATCCCTGGGGAGGTTACCGGGAGGGGGGGCCCATGGAGGCGGCTCCTCTCTGGGTCGTGGAGGCGGAGGCGGGAGTCATCATCGTAGGCCGGTCAGAATCCCGGACTCGGTTTAGGGCCACAGAGCCGGGTTTGGGGTTGAAACGTCGGAGTTCTCAGGTGGCTGTCTCTCCCTCTTCGAGATCTGCCAAAAGAATCAGAGGGTTAGTTTTGGGCAAAATATTAAAGGTGATGACAACTGTGGGACTAATTAAAACGACAGGAGTGACACAGAGCGAGAAAGAAAACTGTGTTTATTTAGAAAAATGTTACTCTCACAGTGTTTACAGAGATTTATTTTGTATTCATAAGGTGGTCCGCCGTGGATTTGGTCAGATATTATAGTTACCTGATATTTGTCATTTTTGTCACCTTATATTTGTGTGGTCCTGGTTTAGTTTTTTTTTTTAGTCCTGGTTTAGTTCTAGTTTAGTCCTGGTTTAGTCTATGTTTAGTCTTGGTCTGATCTATGTTTAGTCCTGGTTTAGTCCTAGTTTAGTCCTAGTTTAGTCCTGATTTAGTAATAGTTTAGTCCTGGTTTAGTCTATGTTTAGTCCTGGTTTGGTCCCGGTTTAGTCCTGGTCTGGTCTATGTTTAGTCCTGGTTTAGTCCTAGTTTAGTCCTGGTTTAGTCCTAGATTAGTCCTGGATTAGTCTTTGTTTAGTCCTGGTTTGGTCCTGGTCTGCTTCTGGTCTGGTCCTGGTTTAGTCCTAGTTTGGTCCTGGTTTGGTCCTGGTTCTGTCCTGTTTTGGTCCTGGTTTAGTTTTTGTTTAGTCCTGGTTTGGTCCTCGTATGGTCCTGGTCTGGTTCTGATCTGGTCCTGGTTTTGTCCTGGTTTGGTTCTGGTTCAGTCCTGGTTTAGTCATTGTTTAGTCCTGGTTTGGTCCTGGTATGGTCCTGTTCTGGCTCGGGTCTGGTCTTGGTTTAATCCTGGTCTGGTCCTGGTTTAGTCCTGCTCTCGTCCTGTTTTGGTCTTGGATTAGTCCTGTTTAGTCCTATTTTGGCTCTAGTTTAGTCTTTGATTAGTCCTGGTTTGGTCCTGGCATGGTCTTGGTCTGGTTCTGGTCTGGTCCTCGTTTAGTCCTGGTGTGGCCCTGATCTAGTCCTGGTCTGTCTTGGTTCTGTCCTTGCTTGGTCCTGATCTGGTCCTGGGTCTGACCTGGTTCAGACCGGGATCTGTCCTGGTTTCGTTCGTTAAATAAGTCACTATTTTTGGAAATGCTACTGGGGCTCAGAATGAGGTGGAGGAGACAGGAACCGGACCCTGTACACACTGTAACTGTAACTGACACACTGTAACTGTAACTGACACACTGTAACTGTAACTGATGTGTTGTAACTGCTGTCTCACTGTGACTGTAACTGACACACTGTAACTGTAACTGACTCACTGTAACTGTAACTGTAACTGACACACTGTAACTGTAACTGACTCACTGTGACTGTAACTGACACACTGTGACTCACTGTAACTGTAACTGTAACTGACACACTGTAACTGCAACTGACACACTTTAACTGACACACTGTAACTGACTCACTGTAACTGTAACTGACGCACTGTAACTGTAACTGACACACTTTAACTGACTCACTGTAACTGTAACTGACACACTGTAACTGCAACTGACACACTTTAACTGACACACTGTAACTGACTCACTGTAACTGTAACTGACGCACTGTAACTGTAACTGTAACTGACTGTAACTGTAACTGACACACTGTAACTGTAACTGACGCACTGTAACTGTAACTGACACACTGTAACTGACTCACTGTAACTGTAACTGACACACTGTAACTGTAACTGACACACTGTAACTGTAACTGACACACTGTAACTGTAACTGACTCACTGTAACTGTAACTGACGCACTGTAACTGTAACTGTCATGCTGTAACTGTAACTGACTCACTGTGACTGTAACTGACACACTTTAACTGACACACTGTAACTGACTCACTGTAACTGTAACTGACGCACTGTAACTGTAACTGACACACTGTAACTGACTCACTGTGACTGTAACTGACACACTGTAACTGACTCACTGTGACTGTAACTGACACACTGTAACTGACTCACTGTAACTGCAACTGACACACTTTAACTGACACACTGTAACTGACTCACTGTAACTGTAACTGACTCACTAAAACTGTAACTGACTCACTGTAACTGTAACTGACACACTGTAACTGACTTACTGTAACTGTAACTGACACACTGTAACTGTAACTGTCACACTGTAACTGTAACTGACATACTTTAACTGACTCACTGTAACTGTAACTGACACACTGTAACTGTAACTGACAAACTGTAACTGAAACTGCCATGCTGTAACTGTAACTGACTCACTGTGACTGTAACTGACACACTTTAACTGACTCACTGTAACTGACTCACTGTAACTGTAACTGACACACTTTAACTGACTCACTGTAACTGTAACTGACACACTTTAACTGACACACTGTAACTGACTGTACACTGTAACTGACTGCACTGTAACTGTAACTGACACACTGTAACTGTAACTGACTCACTGTAACTGTAACTGACACACTGTAACTGTAACTGTAACTGACACACTGTAACTGTAACTGTAACTGACACACTGTAACTGACACACTTTAACTGACTCACTGTAACTGTAACTGACACACTTTAACTGACTCACTGTAACTGTAACTGACACACTTTAACTGACACACTGTAACTGACTCAGTCTAACAGTAACTGACGCACTGTAACTGTAACTGACACACTGTAACTGACTCACTGTAACTGTAACTGACACACTGTAACTGTAACTGACACACTGTAACTGTAACTGACACACTGTAACTGACACACTTTAACTGACACACTGTAACTGACTCAATGTAACTGTAACTGACACACTTTAACTGACTCACTGTAACTGTAACTGACACACTTTAACTGACACACTGTAACTGTAACTGACACACTGTAACTGTAACTGACACACTTTAACTGACTCACTGTAACTGTAACTGACGCACTGTAACTGTAACTGACACACTGTAACTGTAACTGACACACTTTAACTGACACACTTTAACTGACACACTGTAACTGACACACTTTAACTGACACACTGTAACTGACTCACTGTAACTGTAACTGACACACTGTAACTGACTCACTGTAACTGTAACTGACACACTGTAACTGTAACTGACACACTTTAACTGACTCACTGTAACTGTAACTGACACACTGTAACTGACTCACTGTAACTGACACACTGTAAGTGTAACTGTGTGTTACATGTGTTGTGTGTGTCGTGTTTGTGTGTGTGTTGTATATGTTGTGTGTGTTTGCGTGTGTTGTGTGTGTTGTATGCGTTGTGTGTGTTGTATATGTTGCCTGTGTTTGTGTGTTTATGTGTGTTGTGTGTGCGTTGTCTGTGTGTGTGTGTGTTGTATGTGTTGTGTGTGTTTATATGTGATGTGTGTATGGGTTGTGTGTATGTTGTGTATGTTGTGTGCATCGTGTGTGTGTGTATTTGTGTGTGTCGTGTGTTGTGTGTGTTGTGTGTGTTTATGTGTGTCATGAGTGTTCTGTCTGTGTGTGTGTGTTGTGTTTCTGTGTGTTGTGTGTATGTGTAGTGTGTGTTTATCTGTGTTGTGTGTGTCTTGTGTGCTTGTGCGTGTTGTGTTATGTGTTGTGCGTGTGTGTGTGCGTTGTGTGTGTGTGTGCGTGTGTGTGTATTTGTGTGCATCGTGTGTGTGTGTGTGCATTGTGTTTGTGCATTTGTGTGCATTGTGTGTGTGTGCATTGTGTTTGTGCACTGTGTGTGTGTATTTGTGTGCATTGTGTGTGTGTGTGCGTTGTGTTTGTGCGTTGTGTGTGTGTGTGTATTTGTGTGCGCCGTGTGTGTGTATTTGTGTGCATCGTGTGTGTGTGTGTGTGCGTGTGTGTATTTGTGTGCGTCGCGTGTGTGTGTGTGCGTTGTGTTTGTGCGTTGTGTGTGTATATTTGTGTGTGGTGTGTGTGCATTGTGTGTGTGTGTGTGTGTATTTGTGTGCGTCGCGTGTGTGCGTTGTGTTTGTGTGTTGTGTGTGTATATTTGTGTGCGGTGTGTGTGCGTTGTGTGTGTGTGTATTTGTGTGCATCATATGTGTGTGTGTGTGTGTGTGTGTGTGTATTTGTGTGCATCATATGTGTGTGTGTGTGTGTGTGTGTGTGTATTTGTGTGCGTCGTGTGTGTGTGTAGAGTGTGCACTTGGACGTAGTGTTAGATTTGACTCATCTTGACTCAAACATCCAGATGGAAGACTCAGGACACTTTACACTCTCACAAAACAAATCAGCTTTTGTATTTATAAGGACAATATTTTCTCTTCTTAATCATTCATTACTTTTACAAAAAACACCAAATTACAAAGAAAACCAACGTATAATATTCAAGCGACATTATTGATCCATGTTCTAATGCAGTTTCCTCATCTCACTGAGACCTGGACTTGTGTTTTGTTTCATTCACATATTTAACACACAAACCTGCACATTTAGACTAAGTTCTTCTCTCAGACTAAGTTTACACTGAAATGAATCACCGTATCACCGTATCGGAAACGATTTGAGTCCAGACACGTCGTTTCTGTGTCCGCAATCCTTCACTATCCACACAGCTTTGAGCATATGTGTTTACGTTTTACAGAGGCAAAACTTAAAACCGCATGGCTCATTAGCATAAACTAAGCACTCAAAAAACAGCTCGCTATTGTGCACTGATGTGGTTCAGCTTCTGTCGGACTAAGTTTACGTTCAGACTGCAGGGCTTAACGCTCAATTCCAGTTTTTTTGTGAAATCCGATGTTTTTGCGAGGTCGTTCACATTTCCAAGTAAATG